AAGTAAGATAAGAGACCCACATCATCTATATAAAACAACAGGCCATTAATGCCTCAAGGCAATATTTGTTCCAGTGTTGCAATTGGCGCTAAGCGATAAGGATTTGAATTTCGACCTGCAGCTGATCATCGAACGCAGTATGTATGATTGTGACAAAAACAGCCTCGGCAGCGCTTGTGACTTGCACCCTTCCGGATCCTCGGACCTCAAGCGAGTATACATCATGCTCGATGAGCCCTAGTGCTGTAACGCCTGACTATCGTCATCCTTAATTCTAGTTCGTCTCCTCGTTGCACTCACCGAACGCGACATGAGCATCATCAACTGCAGCCACCACGCCCTCACGGAAGTGAAGTACTTGACCGGTTTCTCTATCTGGGCCTAGTAACATTCCCCAATACCACGATATAAGTAGGATGCGTCTTTTATACAAGCGGGCATGTGTGCACACTGTATTTTCCAAGGATGGTAGTGAAATAAGCAGATTCATAGGCGGGCAGTGTTAAGGAAGACACAAATGCAATACAATATGTATATTTTATTTATGACAGATGCAGCTCAAAGCTCCAAGCTCCATGGCGAGATATGACACAAACGATCCACGGTCATTATGACTTTGTTACAGGCATGCATCACGCGGGGGTTGTATTGATATTAGAATTCACCGTAGGCCCGTAGCGCTTAGCTAGCCCTCGAGAAACGAGATGTTTTGGTCTGTTGAGCAAAGGCTTCCAAGAGTTTCCTTATTCGAAATTTGCAAACGGTCATCTGCTTCACTCCCAACATGCACCCTAGCACTGTCTTCGCACATACTTATTGCCTGATCTCATACCTTCACTCAAGATCGACGTTCCATCTTCCGACTTGCACTCACCTGCCATGCATTTCGTGATTTAACACTTGATCTTCTTTGTTCTAATCTGCAAAACTTCTGGCCTCTTATTCTCTCATCCAGACCTTCACAGTTCCATCATACACCTGAACTATTCTGTCCATTGGTTCTCGCTTCCTGCATACAGATTCTCTCACGACTATGTTAAGATAACACTGCATACCCTTCCCTCTGTGCATGTGCAAAACAAAAACACCCACATCAGGGAATCAGCGAGAACTTGGTTTTTGTAGATATAAATGGCAAGTTCAGACCAAAAATCTACCTGATTATATCTGAAGACAAATGAATATATACACAAAACATAATGCCATTCAAGGATAAGAAAGTGCAATACAGATCTAATTTTGATGAATTAATATATGTCTCATAATCCCTCATTACTGTGATGCTTGATAGACAAATCTTTGTAAGAAGTCCTGCATCTCTCTGATACAATTGTCATCTCTTGCCTAAGGTAGACTTTGTGATGGCTGTTTGTAGTTTCAATGAGATGTCAGTCATGAGTTACATGACTAGTGTAATACTGATCCAGAATGGTTGTCACTCATAGTTGTGATAAATCCAGGGCAACATCTTGTCAAATGCTAGCAATTTGCAACTGCAACAGTCACCTGCTACCTAAGGGCCTGGACAGCTGCCGTTTGTTTCTCAGTTTGTTTCTCAGTTAGTTTCATTTACCACAATATATACAAACAGCAGTGACATAGGGTTTAGTCACACATACTAAGGACTCAATGCTGCCTCCACTGGCAGCAAGAGAGCAAATTCACTGGTTCTATGTCCTCCGAATGGCAGCAGCAATGGTTATCCAGCTCATAATAGGTGCTATAATTGTTTACATGACCCCATTTCTCAATAAAGAGCCTTACCATACCTTGATCCTCTCTGGGCATGCATGGGTGCAAGAGCTTGTCAATGGACATCCCAACCGGATCAAAAATGAGCTTGGGATGAGAAAGGTCGTATTTCATGCACTTGTACAGGAACTTCGGGCTTGTGGACTTTGTGATTCAAAGTATATTTCACTTGATGAACAGATTGCTATATTTCTCTACACCTGTGTGACTGGGTTATCAAGCCGTCATGTTGCAGAACACTTCCAGCACTCTCACACGACAATACAAAAGTATGTTCACCTTGCAAAGATATTTGTACTACCAGTAGCCTCACACAGGCCTTATCAGATATTTCAAGAAAGTCCTACTTGCCATATCTTCAGCTCCATTCTACAACAAATTTGTATCCCTTCCACACGACAATGCACCCATACCAAAGGAAATATTGGAAAATTCTAAATTCTTCCTGTACTTTTCAGGTGCACTTGGGGCAATTGATGGTACCCACATTGCATGCTACCCGTCTGCAGCAGAACGGCAACTATCACGAAACCGCAAAGGTGGTGTCAGCCAAAATTGTCTCACTTGCTGTTCCTTCAATCTCCAGTTCCAGTATGTCCTCAGTGGTTGGGACGGATCAACATCAGACTCGACACTCTACAATAATGCCCAGCTCACAGACCTATATATTCCAGAAGGGAGATATTATCTCGCAGATGCTGGGTTTGGGATATGCGACTCACTCCTTGTCCTGTACCGAGGTGTTCGGTACCATCTGGCTGAATGGGGGCGAGCTGCAGTTCGGTGAGTGATATACGACTCACTGTAGTGTCTTCTCAACACTGTGACAGGCCAAAAACATCAAAAGAAATTTATAATCTCCGGCACACTCAAGCTCGTAATGCTATTGAGAGAATATTCAGGGTGCTCAAGAGGCGGTTCATGATACTGGTACACCCACCAGAGTATAGTATGTCGATGCAAGCTCACATCCCCCCAGCCCTATGTGTGATCCATAATTTTATTCACATTCACAATCCGACAGAAATAGAAGAATTTGCTGATGAAGACATTGTTGACTGCGATCCAGGTGAGTCTAGAGGCGACCTTGCAGAGGGACCAGCTGACCGTGAAGAGAGGCAGCGGGCGACTGAAGACAGAGATCATATCATGGTTGCCATGTGGGAGGACTACCATAGGATTTGTTGTGCTCGTCAGAATACGTGAATAGAGACCTACAATACTAGTATTTGAATCTACAGAACCTGCCGGTTAATATGTTTGATTTTTCTATCAACAAAAGACTTCCTTGGACCGTCATCTGTCATGACCATATATGCATCAGTAGCGCTGATGTCCATCTGAAATGCTTCAATGAGTGCTGCCATACTATCATCGTCAAGATGCTTTTCTAGCTCCTGTGCGCGTCGCATGGCCACCTGTTTGCGCTGAGGTGACAGTATAATAGATGGGCTTGAAGTGTGTGATTGCGACGAGGCTTGGAAGATGTCGCTGAATGCTGAAAATTGGTCATTGATTGTGTAGAGTGCCCCCGCTGATCCGCTAAACTGACGGCGTTTCGATGGTGGACCAGAGCCTGTAGTACCAGATCCAGAGGCAGTGAGGGAGGGTGTTGAAGACCGGGTAGATACAAACTTGCACTTGACCGTGGTTCTGACAGGAGTCACCTCCCAAGGAATAATATCGTCTTCATCGTCGTCCTCAGCCACTACCTCTCTCTCGGCAACCGTTTTCCCTTTGTCACTGACCATTCCTGCTACTCGCTCCTGGTCCTTGACATACTCATCAACTAACCGCTCTACCTCATCTTCCACAACAGGTTGAGTATCATTTCCATTGGCCTGGTCATCATCAGGGGGTGCTTGTTCAGACTCAAACATCTCATGTCCAGCATGGAAGGCATTGGTACCGCAAGGGCATTGTGTGCACATGAGTTCGTCCATCTCATGGAAGTGTTCCCAGCCCTTGTTGCGAAACAGTTTGGTATCAGGATGTGTCTGCAAACTCATAATCATATCAGTACCCCTCTCATATCATAACTGAAGCGCACCTTTGCAAATGCCATCCAACGAGCGGCATCAGCAGGACCAATATTCGCACCAAGTTCATCATCCCATGAAAAGCCTGATTGAGATTTGATATTGATAATAGCAGCATATTTTTTTTTGCACTGTGCAAATTACAATCAGAATATAATCTAGCATGAGCAGAGAATGTACATTTAACCACTTGTTCTTGCATGATTGCCAGTCCCTGCCAGATCCCCCTACATGGTTTTCCTTCGAAACACCATCTGGCGGCTCCTGCAAATGAGTTGATGCGCCAGTAAAAGTAGACTGTTTGAATCCTGTCCCATCTCCACCTTCAGCACAGTGAGCTATGAGGTATTCGAGAAGGCGGGATGTCTCTTCGACAGTCCAGCGAGCAACTGCTAAAGTCCCAGCATTGTTTGCTGAAGGTACAGTAGTCTTTTTCTTTGCCATAGCAGCGGTAAAGGGAGGTATGAGTGGGCATTTGAGATTGTCACACAAAGGTCACTGTTGGTCACTGTTATGTCACAAGTGCCACGCCACATACAGAAACAAACTGAGAAACAAACTGAGAAACAAACAGCAGCTGTCCAGGCCCTAAGTGGAACTTTGTGATGGCTCTTTGCTTTGTGAACCAGTTAGTAATCACAAGTTGTAAAACCAATGTCATATTGACACTAAATGGTGTTTCCTTGGAGTTGTGATGTCTCTATAGTAACGACTTAGGAACACACTAGCAGTTATCGATGACAACTACCCAAGCTGAACTTTGTTGATGATTATCTGCAATGTCCACCAGTAAGTTACCAACTGTTACAAACCTGCCTCACAGTGGTGGTGCACACATGGTGATTCAGTTAGGTACAGCAAGCATTAACATTGCAAATCTTTTGGCACTTGTTCTCATGTGAGGGTAGAAGTCAGCGATGAAAGAAGTGAGTAGTTCTTTGATTGAAACTGAGTCTGCAGTTTAGTGTCAACCTTCATGGCACAAAAGATTGTCATTATACTACATGTATTATCACAAGAAACTTGAAATTGATGGTACAAGTTGAAGTAGAGCTGAGATATGTACTGTAAGATAAGATGGGGTTGTCCCAAATAATCAGATCCATGTATTCTACTATTGGTATATATCACCTCATATGTTTTGCAGGTTCCACCAGACATATCTGATCAAAACCCACATTAATAGTAACAGTGGCACTAATCCTAAGGTCAACGGTCTTTTTCTTCATCCAACAATTCACAATAGTTCCAAGTGCCCTGCAGTGAGCCCCACCCAGAACAAGGCACTGTTGGTTTTTCTTGCATGGATGAGCTGGGCTCAGATTGCTGGTGGGGATATGATGGTGTTCAATTGTAGCACCTACACCATTAGATGTGCAGAATGCAGCGACATAACCCTCAGGCACAGGTCCATTGTCACTGCAGAATGGATTGGGACAAGCTGTCGATACAAATCACTTGTGTAGTCTACTGTGAAGGAAGTTTGGTGACAACTTCAACAGCATGTGATATGTTGAAAGTTTCAATGAAAATTCTTTTGACATCAACCAAGGTAGTGGGCCTGGAATGAAGTAAGTAAACATTGTGGTATTGAGGTTGAGGACTTACTGCTGTCCAGCAATTTCTCTGCTTTGGAGTCTTGGGCAACAGTCCAGGGGTCGTGTGTCGATGAGGTGGGATTGATGCTCAGTGTGGCATCATGTGCCTTATCAGCCTCGGAGCTTGCAGACCAGGTGGACCATATGTTGGATGACGATGGGCTGGGACCTGTAAGAGAGACCAACAAACTGGAAGGAATTGTTTCTTTTTTGGTGGGAGGAGTGGTGGATTGAGGTGGCAGTGCAAAGTATGAGCATCTCCTCATCTCACAGAATGAGGCCAACTCCAGGCCTTCAAGCATCACACTGTTAAGTTTCATTCCATGCCTAAATATTGTAAACCTTGGAACAACTTGAAAATAAGGGTATCACTCACCTGGTAACAACGTCATGCAGTTTGAGTGTGATGCACTGTTGCCCATGCACAGCAACAGTACAGGTCTCCAAGGAAAGAGAGTAGAGTGTGGCTCAGTAGCCCTTCCAGTTGCCACAAATAATGAAGACTTCCTGGCTGATATCATTGTGGAACAAATCCAAGAATGTGTTCCATATCTTGGTCACAAATCTGGTTGGGATGCAGAGCTGTTATGTGTGTCAGATGTGTTCGAGACAAGGTGAATTGTACTTATGAGTGATTGGTCATCATCACATAGTATGGTCAAATGAGTGTTTGGAATATCAATGCTGTGCACAACCCCTTTTGCCTGATACTCTGGTCCACAGGCAACAGTCATGATGTCTCCTGGCCTGACATCATAACCCTTATCCTTTGTGTACTGGATGGTGCAGGTGAGGCTTGTCTGCTGAACTATTGCTACTGGGACTCGAATACTGGAGAGTTCAGAGCTGGTCTCTCTGCCATCCTGAGTGATGACATCCCAGAACCACAGGTGAGTTGACCCCTTGGCATACCAATCCACAATGCTGCATTTCCCTACATGCTTGCCCTCCAGCACTTCTATGTGGTCTCCAATTTCAATGGAGTCGGAGTCGGCGGGAGGCTCGAGATATTGTTGCATTGGTAGTTGCAAGTGCACAGTGTGATTCAAGGGACACCAATCCAAGTAGTACTTAGAAACTTCCACCTATATCTAAATGTCAGACAATTTCATAGAGTTTTGTGTTTGCACCAGTCTTACCTGTTGGTTGGTGATATCTTGACAAATGTCAAATATATCCTGTCACATTTGAATGATGTGCCCTTCTAATCCCAAGTATGGACCAGCTACAACTTTGATGGTGTTGCTGACCCAAAATATGCGCTCTATGTCTTTGAGGCAAACCTCTATTTGTTCTGGATGTCCATTGAAGGTAAACTCCAAGCTTGCAGAACCAACTGCATGGTCCATCAAGATGACCTGACCTGACTCTCCATGAAGAGAACCTCTGATGACCCTGGCCCAATCACCTGTGTGCAAAAATTGCATTGAAAACAATACCACAGCTTTCTTCAGGAATGGTTTGTCCCATCTGGATTTGAGATGGAGCCAAATATTGTCAATATGAGGGGAGGCAAGAAGTTCAAGGTTATCGCGAAGGAAGTCTTTCAGTAGGAGACCCATGAAATAGCTTTGTCCTTCATATGTCCATCCTACTACTTCATTGTCATGAATGATATTGGAAATGATCTTATTGGTTGGGAGGTGAGATTGATTGAGCAGTGCTTGAGTTCCCTGAGGCATTGGATAGGGAAAGCGTGATGGAGGAATCAAGACCTTGACAGAACTCTCTGTCTGGGATTCCACTCTGCCTATGTAGCCCCTGTGCAGGGCATGTTTGACCTTCACCCAAGCTGGGTCAGGAAGTTGGAACAGTGAACCTTCGACAGCTTCACGTTCTGCATCTGTGATGCAAAGACATTGCTTTATGGCAAGACTGTGCAAGGTGGGAAGTGAGTCACAGATCATCTTGGGACTATCTGCAACTATGTAAAGTTGGCCTGCTACCCAAGCCAATATGGTAATGGGAAGATTTTGGCTCTGAAGGTGTTCAGTGATATATTCCATAGCAGTTCCTGGAATGCAATGAGTGAGATACTGGGTAATGGAAAAACAAACATACTTTGAATATAAAGTAGATACATCCTGCTTTGGGGTGCCAAAGCTTTAAGTGCAGATAATGGGATTGAGGTTGCTCTGGAAGTGAGAGCACAGTGACCTTGTGATGAGTTGCCCAGATTCTCTTTGAACCTATTGGCCAAATCATTGATTTTTTTGGCCAACCTCTCTTTTGCCAACAGTCCTAATGAGTGCATGACTTTCTGTGACTGTTCCAACTGCCTACCCTCATCTTCATTGTCCTCCTCCTCATCATCATTCTCATCTTCATCTTCAGAAGCCTCAACAATGATATATGGATTATGAGTAGACTATATTTCCTTTTTAGTATACAGTTATCAGCCATGACATTTCACTTACTTTAGGTGGCCCATGGGATCGCCCTCTGCATGAGCTTGACAAGCAGCTGGCCACCCTCGATGTAGATATGGATGCAGAAGAGTCTTTGGGTGGAGGAGAGGGGGCTGTAGGGGTTACATGCTTGGCCATGAGTTGGTCAAGGTTGGCCAAGGATTTGCCATCATCTCCTTCACCGGAGAACAATGCACATTGGGGTTCTACCCAATCATTGGCAAAGTATCTATCACTGAGGTATGATGCAAGAGTGTTATCCATCTCAAGCATTGTCATATTGGTGGTGAGGAACTGATGAAGAATTCCCCATGCATGTTGATCATACAGTGCAGTAATGTCTGATTGCCTGTGTCATGCCCATGAATGTTGATATTGACAGAATTGTATCAGGACTTACCTTCTTCAACCCTGAGCTGCTTCAAGCCAGGTTCATTATCATCATTGGATTGGGCACATTTAGACATATGGATTCTGTCTATGGTGTATATGTTAACTTTGAGTTACTACAGTGAACTTGAAACCTCACATGTTATGTTCAATAGTCTAGACTCTATTGGATAGTACAGTGGCTCAAAAAACTGTCCACATATTTTGACATTTTTCACTATCTATGATATTGTGTGAGAATGAACAAATGCCTCAAGGACATGCTTATACCACATTGTAGTATGGCTTCAGGGCTTTCATTTGAGCGCTACACACCGTGGGAATCTGTGGAGATATGGTGGAGACATAAGGCTTACAAAATCATGACTCATGCGGACAGTTTTTTGAGCACATATTAAAACTATATAAATCATCATTTATGACACCATAACAATCATGCCACCATTAAATAAATTATCAAGTGGTGTCATTATGTCATTTTAAAACCATATCTAACTATACAAACCAAAAATTTCCATATGTCATGGTCATATTCACCATGAAAGCCACCCCCCCTGCTCAAAGGGATAATATCCTCTCTCTTTCCTATTCTGGCCTCTCTGCTTGTCAAATTTCCTCTAGAACTGGAGTATCCAAGTCCACTGTGGCCAAGTTCATCAAAGAAAGTCACACAGACAAGGAAAACTTCTGTGAAGGGCATCCATCCAAGCTCACCTCTACTGATAGGAGGGCTATTATTCAACATATCACTACAGGAAAGGCTGATAATGCTGTCCAGGTCACCTATTACATCAATTCCACCATCACATTCCCTGTCTCTTCACACACTGGGAGAAACATTCTCAAGACAGCTCATCTCAGGTCAGTAACAAGGAAGAAAAGGCTCTCCTCTCTATCACACATATGCAGAGAGGACTAGCACCCTTCTTTTTTCACATATATACCTTGCCATCTGACCCAATCCTATTTATTGTGGTCTTATATGATCATATAACATGCTTCCAGTCCATGTAATCCAATTCTGATGGGCTAAGGCAAAGGTTAGTCATCTCTGTTTATGTGTGATAGAGAGGAGAGCCTTTTCTTCCTTGTTACTGACCTGAGATGAGCTGTCTTGAGAATGTTTCTCCCAGTGTGTGAAGAGACAGGGAATGTGATGGTGGAATTGATGTAATAGGTGACCTGGACAGCATTATCAGCCTTTCCTGTAGTGATATGTTGAATAATAGCCCTCCTATCAGTAGAGGTGAGCTTGGATGGATGCCCTTCACAGAAGTTTTCCTTGTCTGTGTGACTTTCTTTGATGAACTTGGCCACAGTGGACTTGGATACTCCAGTTCTAGAGGAAATTTGACAAGCAGAGAGGCCAGAATAGAAAGAGAGAGGATATTATCCCTTTGAGCAGGGGGGGTGGCTTTCATGGTGAATATGACCATGACATATGGAAATTTTTGGTTTGTATAGTTAGATATGGTTTTAAAATGACATAATGACACCACTTGATAATTTATTTAATGGTGGCATGATTGTTATGGTGTCATAAATGATGATTTATATAGTTTTAATATGTGCTCAAAAAACTGTCCGCATGAGTCATGATTTTGTAAGCCTTATGTCTCCACCATATCTCCACAGATTCCCACGGTGTAGCGCTCAAATGAAAGCCCTGAAGCCATACTACAATGTGGTATAAGCATGTCCTTGAGGCATTTGTTCATTCTCACACAATATCATAGATAGTGAAAAATGTTAAAACATATGGACAGTTTTTTGAGCCACTGTACCTTGGGAGTATCAACAATGTATGCAGCAAGGGGGGTAAAACAATGGTGGATGTTTCCCACTGGGTCGGACATCATGATTCCAAGTTCAGCAGCTTTCATCAGGGGCTGCAAAATGATCAAAAGACACTCATGGATGAGACAATCTTCGAGCATACCCCACATTGTTGATTGGGGTGTAGGTACTGCAGGATAGGGAGGAGAGCTGTGAGCATGAACACCTTGGACAAGAGCTTCATATGAGTGCACATGTGAATATTAGCAAGGCCTAGCAGAAGCGGGTGTGCAAACCCTGGCACCTGTCATCATCATGACATTGGTCTTGTCAGACGAAAGAATGGTGCCAAGGATTGTTGCACCTTGGGGCAGTTGATCCTACAGTCTTGTGAGATGGTGTGCATCGTGAGTCCACCAACAGCACGTACTTGGATGCTCCAAGCAGTGTCACCTGTCAACCATTCTG